GTATTCTCTCTTTTTAATCTTAAATGTTTTTAATTTTGAATCCCGCTTTTAATTGTTTTTAATTGTTTTCTCTCCCTTTTGCTTATAATGTTTTATGTAAAGCACTTTGAATTGTTCTGTACATGAAATGTGCTATACAAATAAACTTGCCTTGCCTTGCCTTTTAATCTTTTCCTTCTTATTTCTGGTAAAGAGCAAAGAATAACAATAAACACAGAAATAAAGATAAAAATCAAATAAATCACTCTGCAAGGTTGAATTTAAAAAATAAAAGCCTGTTCATTCCGTATTTCCAGGTAGTCAGCAAACCTCATTTTTTTTTAGCACATATTGCTACTAAACCTGGACCTGACCACCTGCACCAACCCCAGATCATAGTACTGCCTCAGCAGGGTTGTACAGTAGGCACTGGGCATGATGCGTCCCCACTTCACCTTCCTCTCTTCTTACCCTGATATCCCTATCACTCTATAACAGGGTAAATCTGGACTCAGTTGAGAATATGACCACCTTCAATTGCTCCAGAGTCCAATCTTTATGGTCACATTTTTTCCTCGAAGACAATGGGTCTCCATTGTATTTTTAATAATGTTGGACAGTTCTGAAGGTAGATATCAGTTTGTTTATGTTAGTGATAAATCTACCTCATGCTCCAGAGTTACCTGTGGAATAAGACAGGGATCAGTGCTAGGGTAAATTCTCTTATGTGTTCTCCCAATTGTTAGAATTATTAGACCGCAAGTGATTCATTTCCACTGTTCTGCTGATGACAAAATGTGTCTATAGATCCAGAAAAAGCTAACACACCACATAGATTACAGGGATCTCTTGAAGAAATAAAAACCTGGGTGACTCTTAACTTTCTGCTCCTGAATGCAGTCAAAACAGAAGTTATATGGGGTTAAATTGATCTCTGATAATAAGAAATAAAATAAAAAAGTAAAAAAAAATCTTGGTGTTCATTTTTATCAGGACCTGTCATTTAGATCCCATATTAAAGAGAATTCTAGAATTACCTTCTTTCATCTCCAGAATATTGCAAAAAAGAGAAATACCTTGTCCAGAGATGATGCTGAGGAATTAGCCTGTGCATTGTTTATTTCAAATAATAGATTATTGTAATTCTTTACTATGACGAAGTCCACAAACTGTAATTAAAAGTCTTCAGCTGATCCAAAATGCTGCAGCCAGAGTCCTGGTGAAAATTTAAAAGAAAGATCATATTTATTCTACTTTATCTTCTCTTAATTGTCTTCCTGTTATATCCAGAATATGATTTAAAATTATCCTTCTTCCATATAAGCCTAAATAACCAAGCCCTACCTTATATCAGATATCTGATTGTTCCTTGTGTTCCTAACAGAGCACTTCACTCTCAATCTGCAGGTTTACTAGTGGTTCCTAGAATTTCTAATAGTAGAAATGGAGGCAGATTTTTTAGTTATCATCTCCTGTGAAACCAACTACCAGTTTTAGTCCATCCTACTAGTCCAGGCTTAAAACTTTGTCGAAAAAGCTTCATAGACACAGTGGCTGTGGTTTGCCTGAGCTATCTTTATAGTTATGCTACTATAGGCTTAGACTGCTGGAGAACATGGGAACCACTTTTCATCATTCTGCTTCATTCTGTCTCCATTATGCTATTCTGCATTATTTGTGAGTTCATCCCCTAATTTTATATTCCATCAGCTTTTCCCTTCATAGTAGCTTCATTTGGTGTGTTCCTGTTTGGCTGTGACACCATCCTGGAGAGAGATATCAGCTGTACTGCAGCCATCAACACCTCTGTTGGAGTATGGTCCTGTTTCTCTTACTATGACAAAGTGTATGTACCAGAGATAGGGGATCTGAAGCCAACAAGTCATCTCTATGTCAGGTGTTTGTTCTGCCCAGCTACTGAACCAGGTAAATCCAAACTGCAGAGTGTATTAACCTGTGCAGATTTAACTTACCTGGTTCAGTGGCGGGCAAAACAAATACATGGCATAGAGATGAATTGTTGGCTCCAGATTCCCCATCTGTGGTATCTGCTCTCTTACATCTTGTTTGCCTGGCTGTGTCTTTCATGGACAAACACAGCTTTTGCCTCTTTCTCGTTGAACCCCAGTCATCCTCAGCAGATGGCCACTCACACAGAGCCTGGTTCTGCTGGATATTTCTTACTATTAAAAGGGAGATTTAGTCTCCACTGTCACTACATGCATGCTTGGTGTGAAGGATTGCTTTTGAGTCAATGACTCGAAGAAATCAGCTGGGGTTTTTTTTCTTCGATATTAAACTTTGAACCATTCTGACTGTGTGATCTCTCTGTAAAGTGCATTGTCTATGCACTGTAGTCACAAGCAACTTAACCTATACTGCCACCAGCTGGTAATATTATGCAAAGCAGTTTTGGGGGTTGCCTGTGATTAAACTCAGAGGTGCAACTAACTACTTTCCAAAGGATGTGCAGACAAATTACAGGTAGCTCCTCTTATTTTTAATGCCATGAATCTTATTAATTCATGGATTGAATTAAGAAAAACTTTTAATTAGAGAAATTCTTTACTCCATATCTCTCTGTTTCTTTCTCTTATTTGCTCCTCTCTGCTTAACGTTCTCCTCAGTGGTGATTGACTTGCCAGGTCTTCTGAATTATTTCTGCTTGATAACATTACTGATCTCCTCAGTAGCCGATGCCATTAACTCTGCTAAGTCATGTAGTCAAACAAACAATACTTAATAGCAGTAAATATTTTATTACACATCATTCAAAAATCAATATTGATCTGTTCTACACTTATCTATTCACCATCTAATTAAAGAAATGATTGCTGTCTAAACAAGCAAAAAAAAAGTCCCCTTATTTTTCTAGTCATGTGTGTTTATATCGCTAAAAACTGTTGTTTATTTCTATTTCCGATAAATCCAGGAGCAGCTCCAGAATCTGCTCCTTTTTTTTATCTTCTCTAATCTTCCCAGTTGCAGGACTACAGTAAGCTGTCATTTAAACTAGTAAGAATTACATATCACATATCTGAAATGTTAATCTAGAAAAGAAGAATTCTATGAAAGATATCTGAAATACATATCCAGTAAAGCAAATTAATGTTAAAACAGCAACTTAAAATGAGTAAATTTGGAGATTTCTGAAATGTAGTTTTCTAATTTTAAGGGTAGGCTTAAAACTTTCCTTTTTGAAAAAGCTTATAGTCAGAATGGCTCAGGTTATCCAGTTTAATCTCTATAGTTAGGCTGTTATAGGCTTAGACTGCTGGAGGACATTGGGACCCTTTATCTCTCTTCTCCCACTCTGAAGAATTTGTTTATTCAATCTCTAAAGTTATGCTCTCTCTGCTTTTTTCTCATTGTAGCTTCATCTGGTCTGTTCCTGTTTGGCTGTGACAGAGAACAATTAATAGTGGTTAATGGCTGTAATGTTTTCTGAAAATATAACTTTGTTCATTCACATTCATAATCTCTAATTGGTAGGAATTGTTGAAAAGGAAATAAAAAAAATAAAAATACCATACTGGCACTAGAGTCCTTTTAAGCCCAATTAACAGCTACACATTTGCTCCCCAGTCTCTGCCAAACTTAATCAAATAACAAGTTTTTAATTCATAAAGCATGTAAATTCCAGTTTTCTAAAATAGCCCCAAACATATGTATGTAGCTGGTGCTAGGAAGGCACTGCTAAAACAGCATACTGTTTTTATTTCAGCTTTGTCTCAGTTTTAAAACTTATCTGTTGCGTTATACCACTGAAATGTCTGGCTATTAGATTGATATAATTAATCCAAAGTGGTAGAGAAAGAGAAAAATAAAATAAAAGTTTGGCCATCATTGGCATCATGTGTTGCAACTACTGCTGAAGAAACAAAAGAATCTACATAAAATTACTGACATTTGTTAAACTCCTTCCTATTTCGTAAAGTTAACTACAACTTTGGATTATTTTGGGGTTGTTTTTTTTATTGGACAAGACCAAAAATATGCTTTTTACCTTTTTTTTTTTTCTTTTTTTTTAAACAAATGGAACCCCATACCTTCAGACATGGCTTAGGGATTTATTTATTTATTGATTGCCTTGCTTGCACTGATCCTTTGAATTGGTCCAGTGTCCATCCTACAAGAGCAGTGACTTTCTGAGAGTGTCTGTTCGCGCACCACCCACAAACACTGGGGGACAACATGTGCTCTTATCATCAAAGCCTATTTTAATTTTAGCTGTTAATTCAGTTGTCTTTTTGCGGCAAATTTTGCTTTAGTTTTTAAATTGCTCTATTTTGAAGAGGAAAAGGCTTTTTGCACTTTAAAAAATCTCAGTACATAACCACCATCTTATAGCAACAGAAAAAATGTATTTACCCTGTATTACAAAAAGTATTTTTATGTGGAGGCTATATGTTATTTTGAGATCATCCTGTTCTTAATTGATATAGACTAATGTGGACCCTTAATATAAGGTCTAGAATGTTGATGGAGCCCCTTTGCAACAAAATTTATTTCAAATACTTTGTAAATATCCCCCTCAAGAGTATTTTAACACTTACATTTTAAAACTAGAACTGCAGCCTCCTTGGTAAATGAGAAAACCTCAAAGGTGTTCAATAAGGTATAATATTATAGAACATCTATACAAACACATAGATATTTTTTTTTAAGTACACAGGTCTATAAGTATGAAAAGCAAATTATGCTGGTATTTAATTAGAAAAAAGCCAAACGAAGATTATTAAATTCTTTCTTTCTTCTTTTTTTTTTTTTTTAACTGAGATAAAAGCTAATTTAAAGTGTTCAGAAAAAATGCAATTTTCAGGGAAAAAATGTTCAGTTGAGAAACAGAAAACAAGAGACTGTGATTTATTTTTTATTATTTTAAATTAGGAGTTGTGTACGAAATTAAATGTTTTTTTAAGTTAATTTCGACATTAAAATTAAATTATTGATGCTTTTAATTTGTAGTGATCTTAATACGTAACATCCGAAATGACGTTTGAAGACGTCATTTCCTGTTGAAAGTACAGACAGGGCAAAGGCGAGAGGTGCTTCCTCTCTGACATGAATACAAAGAAATGTCACAGCTACCCTATTTGTAATTTTTATTCCTAACCTAATCCTTTGGAATTTCTGCAGAAGGACCTTCCCGGTTTTATTTGATTAAAAACATTTTAAAACGGACTCAGCATTTAGCAACAAACCAGACGGTAAGAAATCGCATTAAACTGTTAGCTCAAAATGACAAATGGGCTAACAGTTTAACAATTTCTAAGCTATTAAGTGATGTTGTTTTGTTTAAAAGATGCAGGACTGTAGTTATCATTATAATATATTTTTTTTATTTAAAGGCAAATGCTAGCTTAATGTTAGCACATTTGGAAAACCTGATGCTGCTGCAGTGTCACGGGTTTGTGGTTTCTAACAGCAGGCTTCTCTGTCCCATTTCCCCAAGACACAGTTCAGTTAAACAAACAACAATCTGTATCAACCCACTAAAACACTGTTAGAAATGAAACCACCTGAGTCCACGTACTGCTAAGATCACCTTTTTTTGGGGGACTGGACACTTTCTGTTTTGATTCCACAGACCAAATGAGTGGAGCAGCATTTCCATCCCCTACGGTAGAGATGGCGGAGATAAACCGCATCCAGTATGAATTGGAGTACACTGAGGGGATAAGCCAGAGGATGCGCATCCCGCAGAAGCTCAAAGTGTCCGCCCAGGGGCATGAAGACCCCAGTGATGGATTGCAGGAAGTCCCCCCCAGCGTTATAATGCAAGTGCCAGAGAGGATCGTGATCGCTGGTTGGTGTGCTGCTAAATCTGCTCAGTTAAAAAATCAAAAATATATATCTTTACAAACTTTAATGCATATAAAGAGATAAAATTTTATATTATAGTGTTTAGAATTTGAAGTTATGTTAAACAAAGACATCCTCCAATGCTGCCTGTTTTTCTTATTTAAATTTAGACATCAGTCACAAGGTATAGTGTTAAACGGCTTCCTTTAAAGCTGGTAAAACGATGGGGAGGAGTTATTCTGCATGTTTTATAAATCATAAACAATCATCAGTCAAGAACTGTTTTATAGCTTTTTCGTATATATCAACAACCTTAGATCGGCTTTATAAAATGTGAAGACATGTCCAACTGGGACTACATTATCGTACTAAAAATAATAATCCTTTACAGAACAATATGCGCTCTCTATTGTCTGTAGAAGTCTACTAAAGCTTCAAGGTGTTTAAAAACAGTAACATTTCAGGAAATCATTTTCCACCCCTTTCTTTGAGTATGCCAAAACAAAAAAACCTTTAAACACTGTAAGAAAGTTTATTTATTTTAGTTAATATATCTTTATCTGTTGGCTATTAATCAAAGTTTCCTAAAAGGATAATGAGGGCTAAAATACTGATGTTAAAATTGAGCTCAAATTATGCAATCAAAGATAAAGATTTTGAATTAAGAAATATGAAATAGATTGAAATTCCTTCTCTTCTCAAAGCTTTTCATCAAATACACATTGTACACATTTTAGTTGGAGCTGCTCTCCCTGTATATTTATTTTGGATAAAGTTACAATTCTGTCTAATCCTAATATGGCAGAAATCTATTGAAATGTGGACAACAGTATTTGTTATAGTTTCAGTTCACACCTAGATTTAACTACTTGAATGGAGTCTCACTAAGAGGTGTCCAAACCTAACTCCTATTGTACTGCACAAGGGGATAAAGGTCACAGAGTGTTGGAAGTCTTGCAGTATCAGATAAAGAGGAGAGAGGAGAATTTAATTTTATTGCAGTTGATAATTTTATTATTTCCTCATTCCTTACCTCCCCTTGAGTAAGTATAGGTTTGTTATAACTAGTTATAAACAACACATCTATATATTAATGGATCAGGCTTCATGTTTAATGGCCATTTTTTCTTATTGGTTTTATGACAACTAAAAAAAAACAATAAAAATGGAAAATAAAGTTTACATTTTCTTATGTGTTCAAATGATTTTTAGAATGTTTAAGGTTTACTGTATGATCTTTCAGGAGATGGCACTGACACCCAGTTCCCCAGACCCAGAGACCTGGACCTCATCCAGTCGTTACCCCTCGAACCTCTTGCACTGAAAACTCCTCCCAGAGTCCTGACCCTCAGTGAGCGACCCCTGGATTTCTTGGAAGAGGAGCATCAAGTAGCTCCAGACACTGAGGAGGTGGTAAGCCATAAGTCTTAAAATTATTTATTCAATATAAAGTATTTGAAAAATAAAATGTGGTCCTACCTAGTGTTATAACATTCTTACCTTAAAACACAACCTAAAGGCTTTTTTTTTTTTTATAGGTGCGCCCCCAGGGCCGTGTACGGCGGGAGCGTTCCGCCAGTGAGAATGCAGCTGTCCGTCAGCTTGTTCATAATGAATCTGCGTAAGTATCTGTCCAGAGATGATCTCTGTCCTATCATGTAGTAGAACACTGATTTTCTTCCTCCTTGCTTCCCTTTTTGTCCTTTTATACCCTGTCATCTGTGGCTGACAGAACTTTTGCTGCTTGTATTAGAAACAGAAAGCAGCTGCAGCAGTAAATTTAGCATCTATTATTTGAAGGGTTTGGTTTTACTCTATGTTTTGGTAGATCATTAGGATGTGACAAAGAGTGAAAGTTTAGTTTTAAAATTGTTTGCATACAGCTCATTATTTGCAGCACAGCATTATTTGGCAGTCTGGCATTGTTCATCTAGCAGCTTGTAGGTGATGAGAGGGACTAGCTTTGTCTGCTTTGCCCAAAGTAGCTGGCAAATGTTTTTATGCTGCTGCTTTTGTTGACTTTAATCTAGCTGCAGTTTTTATAAAGTCAGTGGGAGGGGGTCGTACTTTTTCCTCATTTCTCTCCCTTTCCTTCCTCCTCCTCTTCTTCCGCCCTTTTCCCCCTTTTCCCTTTAATCTTGCTCCTTTTAATGGTGGGCATTGAGCAGTGCAACTTCACACCCCCCGACCACTAACCAGTCACGCCCCTCCCTCAACGTGGCTGAAGAGCACAACGTGTACAGCGCTAGCGGTGTTCTGTCTTTCATCCAGTCCACCACACATCGGGCCTACCAGCAGGTCCTGGAGGTCTTGGATGAAAACTCACGCAGGTGACCTCCAAGCTATCCGGTCATTTGTTTTTGCTTTTTTTAATTTGGTTTCTTTTTTTTTCTCTACTGGCTGCAAGTCAGCCTAATATGGCTTTTATCAATGTTTTCCAAGCAGTTTATTCCAATCATTGTTGATTTCTACTCTGTAACTCTGCTTAGGGATTGTTTTATCATCTGCAATATCAAAAAAAAAAAAATAGGCCCGGGAATAAACAGAATTAATGCTGAAAAGAGAATACTTAGAGGTTTTATTAATTAAAAAATAAAATACCAGATGGTGAACTTTGAGGCTTACGGTGAAGCAAGTTCTACTGTCACTTTAAGGTCAAACAATGCAAACGATTGTCTTCCTGACAAAGAGCGCAAAGCAACTCGTCAGACTTGCTTTCTTTAAATAGAACCAATTTAACTTTGACAAATTTGTTTGAATAAATGAGCTTTATTAATCTAAAGTACATACATTTTACAGCAAAGAAAAAGACCTACAAGGAGACAATACAGAACATGTCACATGAAAAGAATCTTAGGCTAAAATAAATTGTATATACAGAAATAACTGAAATTTTTTTATTGACTCTTTAAATTCACACAAATGTTTAAACTCTCTCCTTCCTCTTGGTTCCCTAAACTTTAAAAATATGTTGACTGGAGGTGAAAGAGCAAATGCTTCATCTTCAGCCTCAACTTTTTCTGGAATAGGCTTCTTTTTTAATAACACATGAAACGTATAATTTATGAGCTCTTGTGTTTAAAGCGACCTAGAATTTCTAGAAGCTCTGTCTTGTGGGTTTTAGTGATGCTGTGCTTTATGTGCTACACTGTGTTTTTCTAGACCTCTTTTTGCCTTCTCCCTTTTCTGTGTTTCCCCTCCTCTTTTAGCAAACCATCTCTGCGAGGGGGTTCGGCTCTGAGCTCCAACCCCCAGCCTGACTCTAGGTAACTTCACCTGGCTCCTTATATTCTCCTTTTCTCTCCTTGTCCTCCATTTTTCTGACTTTAGTAACCACCCTGATAAAATGAGGTGAAATAATGCACTGAAATCCTCAGACTGTTTTGTATACCTGAAGTATGTTGTTTGGTTTGTTTATGAAATATCTAAAAGGCCTTTTTTGTCTTTTTTTTTTTAAATCTTTTAGGCTCTCTTTGTCGACATATGAAAGCTCTATGGAAGTGCCAGCTGATGACATGACGGTAGTCGATGCTACAACACTCAGACGGCAGGTTAGTTTGAACAAATAATTTATCACGGATGACTTAAATCTTTGGTGACGCATGGAAACAAATTTAATCTCTCTTTGTAGCTCATCAAGTTGAACCGGAGACTCCAACACTTGGAAGAGGAGAACAAGGAGAGAGCAAAGCGAGAAATGATTATGTACTCAATCAGTGTTGCTTTCTGGCTCATTAACACTTGGGTGTGGCTACGGCGTTAAGTCTGTATTTCTGCCTCCGGTATGACAGGAGAAACATGCCACTCCTTATTAAATATATCAGATATTAGCTGCTTGCGCCACTGGGTCCTCGGCTTAAAATATTTGGGAATTTATTGGGCCCCAATCTGCACAGGGTTAATTCTTTGAGTTTGTTTATTTAATACGTGTACAGTTTTATTTTTCTACTCTTATTTCATCTTGTCCATTTTTTTTTTTTCTGTTTTGCTTTTATTCCACGCTTTCTTACCCGGTCCTAAATGATTTGTAAATATTTGTTCATGGTACCTACAGCCGTGGGATGATTCACAGACGTGTGGCAACATTTTGCTGTATGGTATAATGTTGAATATTTATTGCAGGGAGAATATGTGACATCACCAAGGAAATGTAATGCAATTGATTAAAATTATACCCGTGAAGTGTTGCTCTGTGTTTTTTTTTATTATTATTTTTATCAATGCTAGAATTTAAATAGAAATAAACTGGAAAGTTTATAAATAAACTGTAAAACTGGAAAGTAGGGCTGTGTCCGAACATCCACCCTGATGTTAAAACATGCAATCAAACAAGCTGACTTTAAATTATAATTCGTAATCCAATTCTAAAAGCTGAATTTAGGCTTTTAGATGTAAGTTTTGAGACCAAATAAAAGCAGCCAAGATGTGTCCTGTCTAAGTAAACCATGTTTACATCCACAAGTATTAGTCCAATTCCTCGATCAGGCAGCGTTCCGCTGAGGATTGTTGTTTGCATTTGAATTCTGGGTGGTGGGTAACAACATCCCGGTCCTCTGGATAAACCAGTGATGCAGAATCACGAGAGATCCCAGTTGATTTGTTGCTTTCTCTTAACATAAACAATGACTTTCCATCGTGACCAGAGCTGGACGTGGCACTGCTTGGATCCTCAGTTGATGTCTCTTCATCAGTGTCTCCTGATATGATTTCTATTTTTGGTTTAAAGACCTGCTGGTGGGAGGTTGTAAAGAGGTCACCTGTAGGCATATCTTCCAAGTCGGGCAGCTCGTCGATGCGAAGTGATCTGGTTAAGGGAAGGTGAATAGTTTCCAGCTGCTCTTCATCCTCTAGCTCTGTAACTAATGGACCGGGACCATGTGACAATACAAGCTGATCTGCCTCTGGAGAAAAAGGTCTCACCAGAGGAGGCTGTTCGTTTTCAGGCCAATCCTTTTCTTCCTTATTCAATTCTTTATGGTTTTCTTCCACTTTTATCTGATGTATCTGTACATCTTCTACAGAGTCCTTCCATGCTTTCTCCTCTGTGTCCTGTTTGATTTGGCATTGATCATCCTTCTCTCCATCAAACTGGTCTTTGTCCAGATTTGCTACATTTATATCTCCACTCTTTCCCTCATATGTGTTAACCTGCTGTGTTTCTTGAGCATTCAGGCTGTTCTCCAGAAAGACTTCAGCCTCTCCTTTAGAGGAAGACGGTTCCCCAATGTGGTTATCCTCGCTAGACATCACCAAGACGGTGGTTGTTTCATTTATCCCTAAAAAAAAAAGCAGTCGTAAAGTTAAAATCTTTATTTTCTCCAATAATTGTGTTTTGATAAAAGCTAAACGATTCTCACCTCCCTCTTCTAGGTCTCTCAGATGTTTTCTCTCCCGGGCCTGTTCCCGAATCCTCTCCATTTCATCCAAGCTGTCCTGGATCTTCCTTCTCTCCCTTGTCTCCCATTCCTCCCTCTCCTTTCGCTCCCCATCCAATCCTCCCTTGGCCCATGCCTCTGCACACGCCCTATCTTTGGGGAAGACGGGGCGGTCATCGAGGAAGGTCAGCTGCTTAAGACGTACAATCATGGTCTTCCTGTAGTTTGGGATTTTCTTCACCACCTTGTTTCCCATCAGATTCAGCACTCGCAGTTCTGGCATTGTCTCGAGCACAGAGAGGATCTCCGGATCATGTAGAAGATTGTGAGACAAGTCCAGCACACTGATGGCCAAACACTGACTCAGATGCTCTATGTCCTTTACACTCTCCAGTTTGTTATGGGATATCTGCAGGGTGCTGAGGTGAGGAAGGCAGGAGATGTTTTCTATAATGTGGATGTAGTTGTTGGAGACGTTAAGGGTGCAGAGTTTCCTCAGAGGTTCCAGGTTTTCCAGCTTGTGAAGGAGGTTCTGCTGAAGGAACAAGCAGCGCAGGTCAGTTTGAGCATTCAGGTTCTCAATCCTCAGAAGCCCATTGCTTTCCAGCCAGAGACACTTGAGTCCTGTGTACTCCTCCAAGTTCTCAATGGTGGAAAAACCCTTGAAATGTAGATACAGAGTATCATTCAGGTAAGGCGTGGAGTACAGCTTGTTCTTCCTGCAGATATCTTTGAGGAACTTCTTGGTCATCCTTGGTTCTGATTGTTTTTGCTCCTGCACTGAGTCCTGTATTTTGTGGCCATTTTTCATATTTTCTTGAAATCCATCCCGAATAATCGTATCTGAAGCTTTCCTTTCCAAAGTATCAGCAGTCTTTCCACTTTCCACCGGACTTGCTTTAGTTTTATTTTCCATCTTCTTGATATTCAGCCGTGTAATATGAATATGCAAAATAACCCCACAGAAGAATATAAAGAACTAAGATAATTAACTATTATAGGTAATTCGTTGCTGAAATATTCAGGAAATTCGGCTTTTACTTATCAAACAAGAAGATATCATCAGGTAATCCGTTTCGGTTTGTGTCGAAGTGAATTACTGTTTGCCTTGGTTTCCTTAGCAACCATCCGTTAGTGCGTTTTGTTCCTGTCGGACACATTTGAGGGTGACACACTGAACTGTCTGCAGGAAACATGGCGGCGCGCTGCATGCTAATCCGCAGCGGTCTAACGTTTAGGTTGCAGAACCAGCTGGTTTCTAGAAGGCCTTCAGTAACACCGGTTAGGGAGAAGAAACGATGGATGAAAGCGTACACATACCTCATGGCCAAGAAGTTAAAGCTGGAAGGACCTCCGCCACCGAAACCACGGTATCTAACATTTAGCTAATGCTAAAGAGCATATCAAGGCCACTCGGGGTGCTGCCTGGGTGATTCAAAAAATAAAAATAAATTAAAAAATCCTTCTTAATCCCAAATTAAATATTAAAGATTCACAATTGAAATCCAGCAAACTGGCACTTTAGTTCCGATTGCAGAAACAATATATTTGCTCACTCCAATATTTATGAACCTGCGTTATGTATGTGTGTGTGTGT